ATTTTTTTTTTGTTTGCCGCGCGCGCAATTCTTCACTCTGGTTTCAACTGAGATTCGATTCTGGAGGGGGATTTATGGATAGAGCGACCGACCGCCGATAAAAACACGTCCGTCGACTCGGAAATTTGCCTCGCAACTGAAACTCGTTTGGCCGCTTGGCTTTTGGCCATCCAAAGAGCGGGAAACATAAGCCAAGAGCGACTGACTCTCTGGGGAAACTGGTTTTCCAGGGGAACAGCCAGAACTTCAGTTATATCAACAGCGAACTCACCTGAGCAAACCCAAAAACCCGAACCGAACTCAATCCGAAAACGGGGGAGTTTGTCTTGTAGTAGGCCAAACAGGTAAATGCCTTGGCCGAGCAGGTAAACGACGCTTCTCTCGTCTTTTATCTCTCTCTCCCTCTCTCTCTCTCTCCATCTCCTCTCGAGAATTCTCAAGTCTCTGTTTCTCAGATTTCCTCACGCAAGACACCCTGTACCCTGTTCCCAGATTTGTACCTCAATGCAAGTGACAAATGAAGTGAGATGAAATGAAATGCAAGCAGCGGTATAAAGAAAAGTTCAAATCATGTTGCAGCTTAGATAATGGTAATACACCAGAATCGTAATATAATAGACCAAACCAGTATTGGAGTCTGTGGCCATGGTTGTCTCTGCAGATCTTCAGATCTTCAGATCTTGAGATATTGAGGTCTATGAGTCAGCCTGTAAAAACGGAAACGCCAGCAAAACGCGTGCGCATGCGCAAACCCTACAAAATCAAAAAAAAAAAAACAAGAAAATAACCAAAAATCCACTGCGATTCCATGGAAAACCTTAATAAATTCAATCGTCCATAAACCTTGTGGCCCAAATAAAAGAGATTCGAAACAAAATGAAGGGTATATCTGGGGTTTATCTCGGTTGTAGGTGAGTGGAGTGGTAAAAGTGAGGCACGTTATCGTGTCATGAAGATGCTGCAGTTCTAAAACAAAAACCAACAAAAAAAAGGGGGATAAACAAGAGGCCTCTTTCTTCGCTGGGTTCAAAAGTTTAGGACCATCCACCCGCCAACGAGTTCATGACTCAAAAAGAAGCCGCTGTTGGAGTTTCGAAACCGAAATCAGTGAGTGACTCATGGAGAGACTTCGACTGTGTAATACCAGTTGATTGATTGTGTCCAAAGTCAATTGCACACCAAACTGAGATGCAGCAGTGAAAGGAATTGCATTGGAAATATTTACATAATATTGGATTCAAGAAAATATAGTAAAGTAAGTACAGAAAGTTGGAAATGTCAACATAAAATAGCATTAAGGCATTACTATCATTATATTATTATATACACTATATTTCCTATATTTCCAAGTACTAATAATAAAATAAAGAAAATTTAGAAATCCACCAACTGTAAAAGCTTCAACTAATCATTGTTTTAAATTTCTATTCCCTTTACCATTTTTCCCAAAACAAACAGAAACACAGATCTGATCAATCAACTTTGGCTGAAACGTTTTGACCATTTGAGGAGTATAGAAATCGGATAGCATAAAAAACAAAACACCGACCATTTTGATGGATGAACACGCTGAGGGTTCTTTTTCTAATATGTCAAATGCAAAATTAGCTAAAATATCAAACCAAAAGCAAGAAAACTATTCTATAATTGATGGATTCTCCGTTGTCGATTGACTGCATTTCTTTGTCAAGGCGGTGCGCGAATGAAAAAAAAACCTTCATATCGCACGTCGAACGAATAAATTTAAGACATACATAATAAAAACCAGAAAATAAAACAAAAGCCGAAATAAAGCTTAACAAAATTGAAGCGAAAGAGCGGCAATGTACATGGGTTTTTTTTTGTTTATCGCGACTGAAGAGTGAATCACGCAGATTGAGATATGATGATGATGGAAATGGATTTGTCTTCGCATCTCCGATTATCACCTGCACTTCGCCACGCTCGTGCCCTCCGATCGGCCCTACCCATAAACTATATAGTAATACCCCCCTGTTTTTTCCATGTTAATATCATCGCTTTTTTATGGCGGCTCTAGGCAAACAGCGAACAAAAAACCCCGAAAGGCTGTTTGTTTGCACTTACTTTAGATGCAGTCGAGATTAGGGAGTACCCGAAAATCCAAAATCTGGAGTATCCATGTTTGGAGGGCAAACAGAGCTTAGCGATGATAAGTGGCACACGATCAAGGGTCTGCGGTCTCTGGACTTTGGATAGAACTGATTTTCCCGGTAAAGAGGACATTGTTGTCTGCGTCGCCGCTCTAATGACTTTGTCCTTTGGTTTTCCTCTTACTTTTTCTCTCCGTTTTTTTTCTGGAAATGCAGAATGAAAAGTCAGCGGTCTAATGGGAATTGTGCATTGAGGCGGAACAGCAGTCGAGACGATTTTTCATCAAGAAGTTCAGTTCCCGGTCGCCGGGCTCTTAACCCTCTTATACCATATATACTAAATATAACAATCAGCGTGGGGAACGGTCAAAATGCGATCGCAATCGTGGGAGTTTCCCAGCCCAAAGAGGCCAATGTCTTCGGCGACGACGATTTTCATAATTAAATAGTGTGTGTTCTTCCCGCGGGATAGGTGGAGTAAAAATTAATTTTAGCCGGGGTTCGTATAATTAATGCAAAAAAGCGAAGACAGGCCCTCTGCGCTTTTGCCCCTTTCTCGTTCTCGTTCTCGTTTAATATGTGGCAGCAAACAAGTGGGCAAGTGGCAAGTGGCAGCCATGGTTACGAGGGTTTGGAGGGGGATACTACATGGAGGCATGGAGGTACGAAGGTGCAGAACAGTCAAAACAAAACAGTCAAACAAAAACAAAAACAAACCGGAGAAGAGGCACCAACACTTTCCACTTCGTCGTCATCAGTGTTTGAAGAGAGGGAAAACCAGAGAGGCACGGTGAACACCCTGTATCGTGGCCAGAGCATGAGTGTCTTGGCCCGAAAAGTACAGTCGCGTACAGTCGTTTTCTTGCCTTTTGTTTGTTGGAGTTTTTCCCGAACGTCACGAGTTTGTCGCTTGCCCACAGGGGTTAGCACGATGGAAGATGCTACTCTGGGTTTGGGTTTTGGACTTGGGTCCTCTTCTTCTGGCTAATGATCTTCCTGCTAATGATCACCCAGATAATGACGATGATCATCCGCTGGTCTGGTTTGTATATGGCACCAGCCGAATGGGAGGGTGATCCCCCCCCGCTCACTTTTCTCTACTCAGTTTTTCCACTTTATGGAAAGTCTCGCTGCAAAGTCCCCTTGCTTTTTCACTTCGGACAATTATGGTCTCTTTTTGATGACTGGATGATATTTTCTTTGTTGTTTAATAATGCATTTTCTTAAAATTAAAAGGGGACTCAATATAGAAGTGAGGTTTTGATTTATCTCGAGTGAAATATAAACAGCAGTTGTGCAAATGGGAGATTCCTTACAGAGCGATGAGATAACATAGAATGTGTTTTAAAAATGTTTGTAAGATTTAATTAATATAAGTATGTGATAAAATGTATGACATTTTGGCATGAAAACTTTAGGGTATATTTAAATAATGGGGCTTGCAGCTTTGATTTATTTATACCAATTGTTTTAATTAATCATTTGCGCCAATAATAAATAAATACATTTCAATGCTGTACTTTTTCTCATGAATATTTTATTTCTGTTTATATTTATTAGAGGAATGCAATCTTTTGTGTTCTCATTTGGAAAGTATTTTTTAAGGACCGTGGAGTTTATTGACTCCCTCTACGATTACTAACGGACATTTGCATAATTGCGCCTGACTCGAGTTTAATTCGTGGTTTAACGAGGTGAGAACAGGACAAACGAGCCGCACTAAGGTCGGTCACGCTAGAGGGTCCTGCAAGGGTCGTGGAAGGCGTGACCAGTGGCCCAGGACTGCAGGACTCCAGGACTTATCCTGGGCCGGGATCTAAACACCCCTGGACATGCCAACTTCTGGTGGAGGGGGTGTGAACCTGCCAGGTAGAGTCATTCAATGTTGCATTTTTTCGGGATTGCCGATTTAAGGATTTCAACTATTTTTCCCTGGATTTCCCCTGGCCCTGGGAAACTGGAAAAAATTTGGAATTGAAAAACTCATAGAACACAAAGCCTGGGGAAAAACACAAAACGCACTTGAGCAGCTGAACAGATGAAGAGATGAGAAAGGGGCTGCGTGTGAGCAAATGATGATTTTTCCGGAGACGGAGACAAGACGGCATGTTGGCAATTAAGGTGCTGCCAAGCAGTCGGAAATCGGGTGCGGAAAATCTGGAAAAGCCAGACAGGCGACTGGGAAAATTGACCTGACCCTGGCGCTTAATTGCTTTATTTGGGTCTTCGTTTTAGCCAGGCAAACGAGCGAAAAACCTGAGAAAATTAAAGACACTATTTCTTTAAAACATGGCCATAATCCTCAGTGGCGCCACCTATCGTCGAAAACTTTTGGTACGACCAAAAGTATGCTTTAGTTTTATAAATAAGTTACCAACTTTGTATTTATATGTAATTAAATGGCAGCTAGTTATTATAGACAATAATTGGCAAAGGTCATGGTTATTTTATATATCGCTATCTTATAAACAACTACACATATTTTTAAGTTGTATATATTGTGTAATAATATTAGTTCTTCTTATTTAAATTTTGTTTATGATAAAAACGGTTTAATAATGTTTTTGCTAGTTATTTTTTTCATTTTTGTACATACTTGTATACGTTATTTATAAATGTTTAAAGTCATTAATTCAAGCGAAACTGTTCCTAGCAGCATCCTTCAATTGGTTTAAGTCAGAGCTAAAGTTTTAAGTCTTAAGCAAAGCTAATTTAGTAATTTACAAAATATCTATATGATCTTGTTTCTTAAAATTATATTATTTTTAATAGCAACTAAATATCTTAAAACAAAATAATGAGTTTAAATTGTTAACCAAAAATCTGTACTCAGCAACGTCTTACGATCTTCGCTTGGTTTGTGTCTTGGATATCGAATTTCGAACTTACCTTTAAGGCGCAGAAGATGCAGTCTTGGCCACCGCAAACGTGCTGATTTAGGCCGCGAAACGATCGTCGAAAGGCGTCCAAGTGCCACAAGACCTGCAAAAGAGAACGGACGGGCATTAACCAACTTGGCTAACAGAGAAGAGAGTCAAGTTTTGGGGCTGGAAAGAAGGGGCCATAACAGACCACAGCAGGCTATCTCCATCAAATCTCTGTGTGTATAACAAAAGAGAGGCCCAAACCGGTTAAGACGACGCCATCTTGCCAGCGATATCTTGTGTGTGTGTTCAGACAAAGGCTCAAACACCGAACGCTCAAGAGAGTTGCCCAAAAGTCGCGCCACAAAATGCTGGCCAAAAACCAGTTTCGTACTCGGCCACAGCCACCGCCACAGCCACAAAACTGCAAATGGATAAATGGCCAGCCAAAAGCCAGCCAAATCTTGGACTTCTCAGACAGGCTTTTGAGTTTGGGTGGCCGGAGCAGACCGATCGAGTCTGGAAAACCCGTCTGGAGTTTCTCTTCGATCTCGACTTTTGGCGGCCTTTTCGTTTTTCGTCTTTCGTCTTTCGCTGTTGTTTTCGTTTTGAAGTCAGAGTTCACCTGGGATGAATATGAATCACGGCCCCCCAGTCGTCGATCTATCAATTAAGCCGTTCCAAGGGCTGTAATTAACAATCGGCCAAGTGAAAGCCCCGCTCCCTTCTAATGCCAAAAAGAGTACGATTCAATTTGGAGCAGCTCAAAAAAAAAAAAAATAAAGCCGAAAACCAAAAATAAACCGGTCAGCAAACAGTTAGAAAACTTAGGCACCCATAATGTCCAGTCGGAGCAGCTGCCTTACCCATAAGCCCCCAAGTCCCAGCTAAAAAGTTCGGAGCACGAGCCTGTTTTTTGGCCAAAAGAAAAGAAATGCTTGGTCAGCCGACAAAAAAAAGGTATTAGACACCCAACTGAACACCGATGTGTGTATGTATACCGAAGAAGAGGCTTAATAAAAGTTTGCGGATCAAACTATTAGAAATGGTTCAGATATTATTATACCTACAATTGATTGACAATCACATTGAACCCATAAAATTCACAAACTTTGCTTTTATGATTAAACCAAATATAAAATTCATAAAGCGAAGTATAGTCAGGTAGGAACAGAATCAAAACGAAACATTGGGGAAGAGCTGAAAAATAGGAAAAATGGGGAAACACTATGAACAAAGCGGAGGAAAGGAAATTATTTCCTGTCTTTTTGGGCATTTACAGGCTAATTAATCCACCCATCGATGGCCAATTGACAAGTTCACCAAAATAGGAAGTCATTAGTGGGCCCCCTTCTTCCTCTCCCTCTCTCTCTCTCTCTTTCTTGTCTTTCTCCCTCTGATAACTGCCGGAAGATGACGCTTAGCGCGTGCTACTGAATCCACTAAGTCCACTGAATATACTAAAGCGCTGACCCACGCCCACTTCCAACCCACACACATCTTGACCATAACAATGTAAAGTGAGCCAATTAGGCGGGAAAAACTAAATTCGAATTCGAGTTAGTTTAAATTGTCTGCGATACACTTGAATGTGGGTGGTTCCAGTGGTTAAGTGGTTCGATGGTTCGGTGGTGCAGCCCACGTGTTTCCCCAGCGGAAGTGGACTTTGTGGGTGTCCACAGGTCATTCTGGCGGTGATTTATAGCCACTGATGGATTCACGACAAGTGATGGATGGGGAAAATCGTGACAGGTTCTTCGAATGCTTAGTTAGTCAAGGTGGTTAAAATATATGGTTTTAATATTGCTTAATATAATATAACTATTGTGGTTAATATGCTGATGTACTTATAATATTACCAACGATAGTCTAAGTCTGCAGCTGTTAAAGCATTTATTGGCTAAAACATGAAATGTGATGTATTTCAATGCCCTTCTTTTTTTGCATTCTACTTTAATGAATAGTTTATTCAAAACTTATATAACTGTAGGTTGTATTCATGTCTAGCGTTTTACAAACTCATATAGATTTTTAAAGGAAACTGCAATGTGCCTTAAGTTACAATGTATATATGCTACTTTTATCAAACAACCTATTTTTGGTAACACAGCCTTACCAACCTTTGCTCAATCTTATTCCCCCTTTTTTTTGTATCTCCCGCATCTCGGCCATTTTTAGGCGAATCACTTAGTCTTTTGCCATGACTTGGCAGTCTGATTTTCGGTTACATAAGCGGCTTTAGTGGGCCAGCAGACGAAAGATGGGAAAGATGAGGAAGAACATGCTGGAGGAAATGCGAAGCCAAAGAGGAAAAACCAATGACTTAGGCGACAAACTGCCAGGGAAATCTATCCCTCCCACCCCCTTTACCCAGCACCACCCATAATTTTTCTTTCTGCCACATTTTTTTTTGACCAACAGACGAATGAATAAAAATGTGCTTGTGAAAGTTAACAAACGAAACCAGCCAAAAAATGCCCAAAAAACCAAATTTCCCTTCAAAGCAACAGCAACAACAACACGGCTATAAGTCGGCCATAGAAGAAGAAGAAGAGGCAGATAAATTGAAAAAAAATGTTAACTTTGATCATAATTTATGCTCAACCTGTTGCTGCGGCTTCGGATGTTTGTTGCTGGTTAGCTGGTTAGTTGGTTAGCAACATTGAGATTTGTTCGATCGCCGCAGCTGCGCATATTTGCAGTTGTTGTTAAGGCCCCCCAAACCACTAAATATTACTATACACATGTACAAAATGTATTCAACTCTGGATTTGATATGACAAAAATAAATATCTAATATTTTATTTCATTTGTGCACTTTTTATTTGCACACAGTATTTAGTATTACCTACTTTTAATTTACTATTTTATTTGGCCTTAATAAAACCTATCAATTCTTTAAGTATTGTACAAGCGTTTAAAGTTAAAGCAATATTTTATATTAAGTCAAATAATAAACTTTCATTTTGTGTTATATTTTATTCATAGCAAATTTTATTTGAAACGAGAACACCTTTCTTAGTCGATAGATATTGTAAAAAAGGTTTAATATTAGCGATTTAAAAAACTTTCAGTGAACTTATGTTGCTACTGATCAGCAAGAGGTGTATGATTTTTTTCTGTGTTTTTTATAGCACCCCCACCCCCACCCCCTTGGCGTATCAATCGCAGCCTCATTCGAATTGATTAGCATACTAGTTTTATTTATGTGGAATTTCTTTATAGATAAATGTGAAATATTTTCATGAGTGAGGTGGCTGTATGCTTTGTCTTTGGCTGTGTGTCACTTCCGCGCTTTAAAGGAGACAACCAACCACCCACTCTTGAAATCCCCAGCTCCCCAAAAAAACCGCCCCTCCTCAACCTCCTCCCCTTCCCTTCGCCCGTGTGAGTCTCTTACTCGAGCGTAAAACAATTGCGGCACGTTAGGGTTAATGCTTGCAACGCGCTGACTGACATAATTAAGTTAAACAGAAAAAACAACAAGAGCACGTCGGCGGAGGAAATTCAATTAAATTAAAGCGAAATGTTTAACGAGACTTGTGACAACATGAGGAAGGGAAAATGGAGGGGGAAGTTGAAGTTGAAGGGAAAGGGAATCTAGCAATGGGCAACAGTTGCACAAGCGTTTAGATATTTCCCAGGATAAACAACAAACTGGAACCGTGACAGGTAGAAGAGGAAAGCAGGTACAGCTCTGCAGATATAGATCCCTTTGTGCGATCTTCCAGCATTATGGTGTCACGCTCACACAAAGCATTGCACACTATCGAACATCCCAGGAAACAAAGGTCCGTGCCGGGATCTCATCTGGGGTTTCCATCTCATCTGCGGCAGGCTCAAGTGCCGTCCCGCTGAGTGAGCCAGGATATAGCCAAAGCCATCGATCAACCCCTGGCCTTTCACACACACAGAAAAATCAAAGGTCCCTTTTTACACTTTTTCAATATTTAATATATCGCCTGTTTATTTCATTTCGTGCCTTGCACCAACACAGAAATCATGTGAATCCACTTGTTAATACATTATTTATGTATTGAATCTATGGGTATTTTATATATTAAGATTTTAATAGTTCGGTTTAAAATACTAAAAATAATAATGTATCCCAACAAATTATTCTGTTAGATTTCATATAACCAGAAACAGATCTTAAGCTATGATAAATGGCCTGTACATTTCATAGCATGAAGTAATCTTAGACTTTTCTAAAATATATGCATTACTTGTAGCGTCTGATTAAAACCTTTATTCTAAATAAATTTTACGGTTAACAAATTATTGATTTAACCCCTGCCATATTAAAATAAAGGTATAACATTTTGTTGCTGTTTGCTAGTGATAGTACTTGTTACAGTCACAGTTAAAGTTATGCTCGCAGTCACCGTACTTGCTTTTTTCGGTTATGTAAGACGCGTAAATGGAACTGGTCGACTTATAAACGCCTCACTTTTCGCCGTGTTTGTTTTTCTTTCACGGGTTGCAAGTTTTTGGGTGGGGTTGAGTAAGGTCCATCGTTACATGATCATCTTATGCGACACATTTGCACTTTGTGCCACCGCTCGACAACCTTTCCATCGAATGGAGTTTTAAATTTAATGGAGCTTGGCACGTTTATAATAGGGGATGATCGCATGAGATGGGTTTTTTTGATAGCTTGCTCATCACAGATCATCATTGGCTTAATTTGCCCGATAATCGTCTGAGATCGAATCGTTTTCATCTTCATTTGGCAATCCATTTGGTACGTGATAGGTGCAATCATAATTTTGGAGGAAAGCTATAGTTTTCTTTCCATTGGTCTAATAACTTTTTCGGACTTTCTTCTTTTATTATCATAGAATTTTCTTGTGAACTTTCTATGAAAAGTAGGTGGGTTCTTTGATGGCTTACTACCAACTTATTTCGATTAGGGTATAGTAAAATTTTACGACTATCTACTGAAGTCTTAAAGATTAAACTAATCTGTTCTAGGTTTTCTTTGCTGCCTTATTCTTTGAGCTCTTCCTTTATTGCCTGAATAAAGGATCTTTCAATTCTAAGAACATTTTATGGTTTCGATTCCCTATAATAAAAAGAAGAGATATATTTTGATGACTGTATCTACGGGTACTCCATGGCTATTAATTCTCGGCTGCCGGATCTTGTATATTAGTTTTCCCCTGAAGAACCTTTACCTCGTTCTAAATCCACCCCTCTTTATCATGCCCTGTTGCCCGCCTCATTTTTTGGGAGAGAAGGGGACTTATAGAGACAATTAAAAGTGCGCCCACAACGAAAATTGTTACACTTTTGTGGCTTTTGTCAACTGCAGTCGCGTTTTAATTTCTTACTTTTCTCAGAAAAGGGAAAGATAGAAAGATAGATAGGGAAAGAGCTATATTCTGTGTGGCTTTAATGGGCAAGTTGACAATTTTCATTGTCGGAAAATGTTTTTTATGGTTGCGTTGTTTGCGTTTCGAAGTTCTGGTTTTTTTTTTGGGCTGACCCCAGTTGACCTCTTTTGTTGAATAAACATTTTTTTGGTTCTTACCTTGCAGGTCTGAAAAAATGCGCCAATATTGTTGTTTTTGGCATTGATCGCTGATGTTTGGGCGTTTGTTGTTATTGTCTGCTGAGGTTGTTGTTGTTGCAGCAGCAATTGTTGTTGCTGCCCCAGTGGGGCATGTGGCAACGAAGTCTTAATGGCCACCGTATCCATATTGAAGGTTATTTTTATTTAGCCTGAAGAACTTTTCAGCACATTGTGTTTTGTTTTGTTGTTTTTTTTTTTTGGGTTCTTCCACAACTTCCGCAAAATGGGAAAAACAAGAAAAAAGAAGCCAGCAAGGGAAGTTGTCGCAACCCTTTTTGAGTTCTTAGGCCACTTCTTCGTTATCTTCTCGTACGTTTTTGTACTTTTCGCACCTGTTTGCGTTCACTTAGCTGTGTTTTTTTTTGTTTTTTAAGGTTTTTTAGCTTTTCCACAGCTTAGCTACCATTTGTTGTTATTGTGGCTCTTTTGGCTTTAATGTCACGCTCACAAACACACACACACACATTCAGAAACCCAGACGGATTTAACGAGCAACTTGGCTCTGAGAGTATTTCGTTTGTGATTTCCCTTGATTAATCTTCTGCTAACACTTCACTCAATTCACAAAAAACAATTGTTTCTTTCTTTTGGTTGCACCACAAAATATAGTTTTGTTTGTTGTACTTGTTAAAAAAAAAAATGTTTTGTTTGTTGGGTTGGTGAAAAAAATGTTGTGTTTGTTGTTTGGCCAAAAAAAAAAAATAAAGTTTTTGTTTGAAGCTGCGACGGCGACTGAGCAAACGTCTTTCGATGTTGAGAGCGCAAACAACACTAAACATTAAGTTCCAAGCAACCACAATTTCCCCGCTTCGAAGTCGGCGGCTCATATGGGAAATTCCCTCGCTCTTCTGGGGTATTTTCAAAATGCCGAAGGAAATTAGCGAATTCATTGCATACTTTTGGGTGCTGAATCAAAATAAGGATTGGGCTACGCTTAGGGTTTGGTTTTAAGCGCAAACTCATTGGCTTTTAATATTGCTAATATAATTACGAATATCTTGCACGTTTTTTTTTACGAATATAATTTAGAACAGGTATATTTTAATCAATATTATTTAGAATTTAATAGTCCCATTTGAAACTCTTTTAAAACTGTATTCTTATCTTAATTTACTTTGTACTTTTAGTAAGATTTCTAGATATTTAATTGACTATGAAACCTGTCTATATTTAAAAGCAATAATTCTTAAATTTTCCAATTTTGATTGACTACTTTTTTGGGTGCACTTGGAATAAAAAATAATTTTATACAACTGACTACACTATACAAAATTTGCCATGTCGAGTTTAAGCCTAAGCCAAGTTCGAATTTCTAAGAAAAGCTTCAAGTAAGCTGAGAAAATTCCCCAATACGAAAGGTAAAGTTCTCTTTTTCTCAAGACAAGTTCGAACTTCTCTCCACTCTCAGTAAAAATTCCCCCGGCAAATGAACTTTCTGACCAAGCCAACTTGGAGCTTGTCTTATTCGAAAACCAGAAATCTCCAAAGCACTGCTTGCTTCGAACTCAGTCCCAAAGACAAAATGGCGGCCGTTAAGATCAGCATAGAAAACGAAAAACAAGAAAAAACGATAAAAACAGAAAGACAGAAAAATACGTAAATGAGAAAAAGGTACAGAGCGAACGAAAAAAAACACGTTTTTCAGACTTAACGAGTTTTGTCGCAGTCGCTGTTCCAAAATCAACGTGCAACAGCAGCCAAAAAGGTAGAAAACGCGAGAGAAACGCGAATAACAACAACAGCAGCAACAAAAAATATTGTTATTGAGGTTGCCAAAGTGGGCTGCGCAAGGAGGGGGGCGTGGCAGTTGCGGGGGCAGATGCTGGTGGTGGGTTCCTATATAGTTGGTATATAAGCATGTATAGTATGCTCGTGATGCTGCAGACCTGGAGGCTGAGGTTGCTTCTTTATCATCATCTTCTCTTTTTTCGTAATTCTCCTTTTTTTTGGCTTTTGTTCATGGCCCATTAGCTTTTGTTTTGGGGGCCAGTTTCTCCAGGGCTCTTCGCGATTCTCGGGAGAAGCCTTGTTTATGTGGCACTCGGGGCAGTCAGGAGAATATTGCGCGCCAAAAGCCTCGAAAAAATCGAAAATCGAAGCCAAGCCAAGCGCGCCTTTAAAATGGAAGCTTATCATTAAACAAAAGACGCGAGATGGCCAAAAGCCGCTTAGGGACTGATCCCCCCCTCGCCCCCTTCGATCCCCTCTTTTTTATGGGTGCAGAGTGAGGAAAATATATCTCCATGAACTTATCATAAACTGGCTGTATTTTATATATGACACACTTCTTCGGTTGAAATCAGAATTTACACCTTTGAAGTTATGCTAATCCATTTGTGGATAAATATATTTTATTGATAAAAGTTAATAAGGTCTTGACCCCTTTTTAAAATGATTTTTGGGACTAGTACATACATAACTAAGAAAAAGTGTCTTAGAGAAATTACTATTATTTAGAGCAGATTTAATTAGCATTTAAAATGCCATTTATTTACAGATTAATTACAATACATCTTCACTATAGATCAGACTTTATTTTGACAAGCTTTTGCTTGTTGTATGCTTAAGCTGATTCTTCTTGTAGATTTCTCAGATATTTCTCCATATTATAGTTGTTATAAATGACTGAAAATCTTTGGCGAACACAGCTGACAATTGCGAATTCGGCTCAAACGTTGAAAATTATGATAATTTTTGTGTGTACTTGCTGGAGTCGTGCAGCAGCCGGCAACAAATTGTGGCAATTACATTGGCATTCCTTTGGCTCACACAAAAACACACACAAACACCTGCTGTTTTCTGGGTTGGCTAATTAAATTGAAATTCATTTGCCGCAGCTGCCGATTCGCCAAAATCACTTGTCGCCTTCGATTTCCCCCCAGCCAATGAAATCCAACATCAGTCACTTCTCCCCCGTCATAATAATTTGCAATTTTCCATGCTGCCAACCGCTAACGGCCAAAATCCATCAGCTCATTATGGCCAGTCCGAAATGGGCGCAGTGGGGGCGTGGCCGGTTGAAAATAGGAGGATAGGAAGGTCGCCTCCAGTCACCGCAACTCCGCAATAGTTGATCTACATTAGTCGGTTGCACAATCGCATCGGTTTCGCCTGGTTAGCAAGGCAGGTGGAGTTAGATCCGAGCAGTTGGCCCAGAATGGGGTGGTCAGTGGGTGCCCGGGGATAGACACCCAACGATCCACTCACGTACCCACTAAACATACCCCAAGAAGCAATGTTGCAAGCTCAAGTTTGGGCCAGGAAAAACCGTTCAAACTATAGGCCATAATTGGCTGGGATTTTCAAGTAATTTATAAGTAATTCTAACCAGAATTTTAAGCTATTCCTTCTTTATTTTGTATCCCCTAAAAAATACTCATGTATTTATTAAATATTTTTAAACTTAAGAAAGCAAGTAGTGAATGCACTTTATACCCATATATATTAAACTATGTTAACTGCAATTTAAGTGCAACTTTAATTCCTTTTCTCTCAACTTTTTTTCCTTGTTTTAAAATACCAGGCACGTTCTTTGTACTTGTTTCAATTTTAAAAACCATCTGCATTTTAGGACTAAAAAGTCCTTGCAGCTGAAATTGAAGCCCGAAAAAAAGGGCAGCTGTCTGTCTCAAGACTTGAAGATAAAACTGGACAAGTGATCGGATCGGGAAAGCAGGGGGATATAGGACTCGGTTATAGAACTTGGCTGCCAGCCAATTTATGTGCACAAATTAACAAGCGAAAAGAAAAGAAGACAGAGAGAAAAAAAACGGCAGCATAAAGGCAATCAAAAGGCTGCCACATAAATTTATGAGCTGCGTCAGAAGAAATCCCCGCTGAGGCCGAGAAAGCCGTCGAAAAAAGCAGGGGGTATCGGAGGATATCAGGCTTATAGACGCGTGCTGATCCATAAAAGGGGTATCAAGAGGTTCGAGGGGGTTTTTGAGAGGGGTTTTCAAAGGGGGGGGCAACGAGGGATCATCGCGCGCGCGCTCATAAAACTTGAAACCAGGAAAAGGAGCCAAAGCTGGCCAAACTGGTTCTAGTTGCGAGGGAAGGGGATTGGAGGGGGAGGAGGGAGCTACCTTCTTTGCCCCGCGAAAACAACAAGCAACCCAACATGTCCTGCTCCTCGGCTAAATTTAGCACGAGCTGGCCATCAAGCTCAGCTGGCTGAAAAGGGTTAAAGCCAAGTTAAGAGAAGAACTCCAGTTTTTTTGGACTTTGTACGCCACAGTTTGTTGTTTGCGCGCCATTTTCCAGCCGCAAAAAGAGATAACAAATAGTAAACAACAGCCACACAGCCAAATGCAATTGCAGTTGGCCATCTAAGTACCGCAGTACATGTGTGGAGTTTCATATGTATTGGCATATGCCCAAAGTTGGACATTGCCCACTGAGGGCAGTCACATCGTGGGGTTAGAAGAGGCAATCATAAATCATGATATAGGATTGGTAGAGAATCACAATTAGTAGGGGGATATAATATGATACGTAATTAATCTACGAATCGCGTTTTTATTTTTATAAGAATTCAATTCGATTTTATTCCTTCTAAATTTATTAAAATACAAATCAAAAATGGTTACCTTAGAACCCTAAAAGTCAGACTTGAAATATCTTATAAAAAATCGAGTTATTTATATAAAATGAATCATTAATTATAGGTATAAAAGAAAGGAATCTAGTAATGTTATAATTTTGTTTGCTATTGTATTTTATTTTTAGCTATAACTTTAGTTATTTTAAATATTTGGAAAGCCTTTTTAAGCAGTTTGAGAGTTGAATCAACAGATTTAATCACTCCTTTTTGCCAAACTCAGTGAACAGCCCTCTTAACAAAAAACTTGGCTCAAAGTCGTTTGGGCCTTGTTTGGCCAGTTGTTGTCGCCTTTTGGCCAGGCTCCACTCGATTCGAATTGGATTTTGTGAGTACTCGTACTCTTACTCGAACTCACATTGGATTTGTTTGTCCGCTTGCCTTTTATTTGTTTGTTTGGTTTCGTTTGGTTCGGTTTGGTTTGGTTTGGTTTGGTTCCTTCGTTTGTTTGTTTATTTGTTTTGGTCTGCTTTTGGCGCGTGTGCAACGCGGCCAACTGTACCAAGATCAACAGCAACATCAGCAGCAACAGCTACAACTGCAGCATATATTGCAGTGCTGCAATGTTGCTGCTGTGCAGGCAGCTTAATTGACACGGCAGCAACATCGTCAGCAGCGGCAGCAATTAATAATAGCAGCCGTCTCCCTTTCTCCGCTTTTCTCTGGGGACATTGCCGGCGTCGCCAGTCGCGACAAGCAGCATAAATTGCAGTTGCCGTTTACCAGCAACAGCAGCAACATCAGCCAACTGCAGCAACAACAGCAGCACCAGCAACTGCAACTGCAGCAGCAACATCAACAAGTCAATGGCAAATTTATGTTTGACTCGTGCTCAAGTCAACCACTAAAGACTTGGCTTCGAGTGAAAGATAAGTTGCAGTCGGAAAAAACCGAGAATAAAATAAAGTAGTTCGCCATATCTGTCAAAATGTAACCTTCTTAATTTGAAACTTCTCCTGAATAGAAATGTAATATTAGTTTCTTGAATTCGTATTATTACATTTAGAAAATATTTTTTTTTTTAAATTGAATTTGCCAAAAGTATACGTTTTCATAATGTTTCCTTGGGGTAATCTTTTATATTTTTTAAAAAAAATGTGTGCTTTACAAAACTATAGAGGGATTTTAGATTATGATGACATATTTAGGAAACTGTTTGATTTAAAAATAAATTTGTAGATCGAAGAAAGATGTGACATAACAAAATTGTAACTACATTGAGTACAATTTTTTTTGAAGTGTGGCCAGTTATTAAGAGTGTGGCCTGCCTGATTGCCTTCTTCTTCGCATCAAAGATCCCTAAATGAAGGAATGTGATTGCCTATCAAATTACACAAAAAAATCAAGAAGCGAAAAAAGAGGGAGGGCGAAAATTCTTTGGGAGTCATCCTTTGTTTAGCTTATCCGATTTCAGGTTGCCCCAGGGTTTTAATACCCATACAAAAGGTTAAAGCCAACGAATCCTTAGCTCTAATCCTATTAGCCAGGATTGGTGTTCTTAAAGTCATTGCAGCATTAGAAATAAATCTTGAATCCTCTCAGAAAACAATTTTATTATGCATAATCTGCTTTAAAATAATACATCGAACAAAGAGATGCTTAGGCCATTAAAGAATGTAATTCTTGTTCAAACTGGAATTCACATTTCAACACATCCCCAAAGAATTAAGAGCTCAGATAACTTTGTACTTTTAATTATTCCTGTTTTCCCAGTTTTGCAATTGGAACCAAATTAACCTTTTAAGCATTTAGTATAATATAAATCTTAGAATATAATGTTGAGGTAGGTGAAGAATTTTTAATTAAATTGTATATTTTGTATATTGATCAACTAAGACAAATACGACAAAAAAACACCATAAAGAAAAGAATAATTCTTCTAAACAGTGACTTTAAAATACAATACGTCAACGCTTTATATAGATAGCATGATGTACAAAATATGCAACCGAAACATTTCTCCCATTAGAATGCCTTTCTCCGGGTTAGAATGGGTGATCGGTGAGATCATCCTCGGGTTCCTTCTCCTTCTCCTTATCCATTATCTCCTCGGCTTGGCTAATTACGAGGCCAATCAAAGCCCGCTGCGAGTCAATTAAGAGATTGTCGTTGGCGATCCGTGATCCGGGATCGGGAGCTCGCCCCGAGGATCGGATCTCCTCCTCGCTCCTCTTCACTTCACCAGCAATGACAATTGTTACCTGACCAGCCGATCTCCATATATATATCGATATATATACGTACATACATGTACGGATGGAAGGGAGTCCGGGGGGAGCTACCACTTTTGGGTGCAGCTGGCCAACCGGTTTGGCGCGTGCTCCTCGTGCTCCCTTTCTCCAGTCGCTCGGTCCGTCTGTCTCTCCAACTGACTTGTATTTTTGCACAAATGAATTAATTAAAGACGACGACGGACCATTAACGACCAGTTCGGGGGGCACTGAGCTCGGAACTCGGAACTCGAGGGGAGGGGGAGGGAAGTACAGATCGGGGAGACAGCTGCCTCTAGAAGTACTCCTTCCCCAGGCGAATGCGCTCCTTCGATTTGCGTCGATTGGACACGCCGTCCGACTCGTCCATCATGTCCTCCAGCATTCGCTCCTGGCGAGGATTCAGGGCCGCCAGGTGGATGTCCCGAGTGGCCCGAAACTTCCCGCAGTTGAACAAGTGCTCGTTCTCCAGCCGCACGTAGTTCCAAATGAAGCGCCTAAGGGGCAGGGGCAGACTACACTCAGCAAAAACGGGAGCGCTGTTCCACCACTTAGACTGGTTTATCGGAAAAACGCTTTCAACTAATTCTTGGATTTTTTTAAAATTTAAAATTCATGTTAATTAAAGACATTGGTAACTTGAGATGTTAGCAGTTTTATAATCACAAATAAAGTGACAATAATCTGCATATAAAGTTTGAAAAGAAAATTTTACAAAATTATTTAAACAAAAAAAGATTTAAGATCTTAGATAAATTACTTCAACTGATGTTTTAAAATCAGAACAATATTTTCCATCTTACAAATCGATAGTAAGTCTTCAGACATCAAAGAAAACAGAAATGTTGATATTATAACTTATTAAGAAACTATCTCTTTAGAAATATATGTATCCAAATTAAAAGGCGTTTTTCCAAAACAAATGGTAAGTGGTTGAACTAAAGCGCTTGGCACGCTCCCCCCGCTCTCACCTAGTGATCTCCAGGATACTACTGATGGTCTTAATGTTATAAGGAGTCATCAGATTGTGGTATAGGATGGCAAACTCCAGGACCCAAAAGAGCCGCAGCACCAGATTCTCGACGATCACAAAGTAGTAGAAGGCCTGCGGATACACGAGTTGCTTCCGCAGGAATATGTGCTCACCCCTCATGATTCGGAAGAGGCCAAAGTCCCGGATCACATCCCACAAGTAGCAATAGACGGTGGCCACCACACAGCTGGCGAGGAATAGCCAGGTGTACGGATTGCTGAACGTATTGGCATACCCACCTGCAGGCGGGGATGTCGGGATTTGTGTGATTCATTTGGGTCACCATTCAAGGGACTACTACTACTACTACTACTACCCTCCGAATTCGTGCGCAGCGTGGAGAACAGCACCACCAGAAATGTGGTGGCGTACTTGCCAGCATTGATCAGGTAGCTCACCGACTTGGAGCCACTGTCCCGGAATCTTCGCAGGCACTGGGCGAATCGAAACCAGCCGGGCAGGCACATGGCAATGGGCACCATCACATCCGGCTCGAAGCAGTTGGTCACACTCTCGTAGCGCAGCCAGCTCGTCGCATAGAATCGCCCGATGTAGTAGTGGTCCACGATGCAGGTCACCAGCGAATTCAACTGGTCACCCATCCAGAAGTCGGCGAAGCCCACGTAATGCAGCGGTGCGGTGATCACGCGACCCACCAGCTTGATGGTCCACCACCTGGCCGGCCAGTTCATGATCGGCAACGGCACCACCAGCAGCCCCACCATGATCAGGATGAGGGCCAGGGGGAAGACATAGGGATCCGCAATGCCCATGGCCGCGTGGTGCAGGAATCCCAGTATCGAGAGGGCCCACAGAATGCCAAAGGTGCAGGCGATCTCCAGGAATGTCGCCGGCTGCAGATGGCTCCTCGGGTCAATCTCGAAGATCAGGATGTGATTGACCCCGGCCTGCTGCCAGCCGGCCACATTGGCCGCCATGTAGAAGTTGAAGATCACCCAGGTGAAGGGTCCGCGGTACAGGCGCATCAAGCCCGGTAATTCATTTTTGGTCGGAGGCAATTTCCAGTCTACAAAAGGGGATGGGATGGGATGGGATGGTATGGGATGGGTTGGGAACAAGAGGAATCAATTTACATCCCGGGATATGTTCTACATATGCCCAGTTTTCAATTGGCTAGGATTACCCAGTTAATACCCAGTAAATAAGTTTTAAATCGGAATATCATCCAGTTTTCTGATATAGATTAGGTAAGGAATAGCCAATTGAAAGGTGGTTTGAATTGGAACTTAATATTGATTTCTGCAAGAGATTAGTGAAGGAAACTTAACTCGAAATCAAAGTATTAATTTGATTTCTTGAAGAAAAATAAGTTGGCTTAAGACGGGAGACTAATATTAATTTCTGAATGAAATTAGATGAAAATTCTTCAGCAATATATGGATATTAAGTAAAATTTCGCAAAATGTTTAGTAAATTGCTTGAATAAGATGATTGTATCCGATTTGAGGGAAAACTAAGTAATAAATCTTTAAGACCAGAAAATGAAATCAGATTTCTGTGAGAGATCAGCTTAATTACTAAGCATTAAAAGATGAGGGAAACGCATAGGATAAGGACCATGAAATCAACCTACAGCTGATCGCGGTGGCCAGGAGCAGCATGAGCAGCATTCCCAGGGCGATTCCCGCCCGGAAGACCATCGCCGGAGGAGTGGGCTCCCCGAGTGGTGGCACCCGGAGCTTCTCCATGGCCAACGACCGATCCCCGTCCGCCAGATGGGCCGTGTACAGATCCTCCACCTCGATGGTCATGCGCTGCAATTGGCGAACCTCCGTAAATGGAGCATCCACCACATTCAGCTCGAACCACCTGCCCGCCGCTCCGGATCTCAGATTCTTATCATACTTCTTGCAGATCTTCCGGAAGCCCGTTTCGTTCAGCGACTGAAAGTTTTGGATGAGCACCAGACTGAGATAGAATTCGGCATAGGCATTCCTCAGTTGGCGTCGGGTCATCTGCTTCTTTTTATTCTTTTTCATTCTCGTGGGCTCGGTTCGCTGGGATTGGGATTGGGAAAGGGCCTGCGACTGTAGGGAGATGTCGCTGCCCGTGTGTCCCGGTTCCCGGGAATAGGCCAAAAGCTGGAGCTTCAGGTGGCCATGCTTCCGGCGTGCCTCGAGCAGTTTCTCCAGGAAGAAGTTGTTCACCCCAGTCAATTCCGCTTCCAAGGCGGTGAGGAAGGTCTCCTCGAAGGCCCTGTAATAGGACTGAACCTCATAATCCGTGGCAGTTAATGGCGAGGGGGCATCCTCAACGCCTTGCTTGATCAACGCCTTCAGGTCCTTTTTTTTTTTTGTTGAAGGAGGGGGTTTACATAGATGAGGAGGAACCGAAGTTATCCAGCTTACCGCATATCGCATGTACTGCTGGCGCCACTCGATCGTCAGGTGGGACTCGAAAGTCTTGCCAAACTTCATCCTCGGCACGGGCACGCACGCCCCCAAGGCGTGGCTGCTCTACGGCTAAAACTAGCTGGATTCGTCAGGCTCTACAAATTCTGACATCTTTCTCCTGGCAGTACCTTCGCCTAACTAGCAATTCCCATACAAAATAACAATGGATCCCAACAAAATCTAATCTAATTCACATTTTTTGATTGAAGTTAGAGCACCTACCTTACTCACAACCTTAGAAGTGCATGGTGTAAATGGGTTTCGTAAATGAGATAAAACATACCTGCAAAAGAAGAGAAAAAAGTACATTATAAATTGGTTTTATTTAAACAATTCATATTTAATAAATATATTTATAACACCAACATACAACATCTATAAACTTAAAGGTATATAAAATATTTATAGGCCCTGATTAACAGCTGCTATTTTTAAAGCTATATAATTTTTCCTAAACAATACTAAATATAAACCATAGCCTGTCAACTTTCCCTACGTTGCACTCTTATTGAAATCACCCAATAAAACTAATAACCATAATCAAGGCTTCAAGATAAATAACAATTTATTTTTAAAGCAATAATTAATGCCTGTAGCATTTGTCTTTGTGACCGGGTGTGTTGTCTTAGTAAATTAATCCAGCCAGCAGACCTTTGTGCAAGTTCTGGTTCCCCAACTTCCCTTGTTTGTGAGTCACTTCCTCGATCTCATTATGCGTTCGCACGCTGTTCCTCGTGGCTCGTCTTCCTGTCCGTCAGCAAATCCCCAACCAGGTGAGTCAGTTGCCCAGAGAATCCGCAAAGAATCCACTCCACCACTCTTTGCGAACTGGAGTTCCCGTTGAGCGAACCCGAAATTGCAGTCAACGCAGCGAAGCGATAATGCCCACGATAACAATACCAAACTCACTTATCAGGGGCTTTGCGAAAATAAAACTAAATGGAGTTTTATTACTTGTATTATTTCTGGCAAAAAAAGAGGAGCTATCGACTTGGGCTCGTCCGGGAATTGAACCCGGGACCTCTCGCACCCGAAGCGAGAATCATACCTCTAGACCAACGAGCCAAATTCCCCTTGCGAAAGTGTGCGGCCAAATAGCCCATATGTGCCACAGCTCTAAATCTGGAATGGCGAAAGCAACAAGTACTTGGCCAAAAAGAAAGGCCAAGAAGAATTCTTCGCTACTCTCTTCCCGCTTAATTCTACGGTTCTTCGGATCTTGTGGGGCTTCGAAGGGCCGCTCGAGGGTGACGATCAGACGACGCCTACGACAAGAGTGCCGCTAGAGTGACAAACCGCAAAATATACAAAAACACAATTCACAAAAATACAGAAGACAAAAGAATGACTAAAGATTCTCAAGAACTCGTCATTGTTGTTCTTGTGGGTACTATTACGCAACTGGGGCTGCCAGATCTTATGGCTATAACCATTAATTTATAGCCGTAAAACAATTAATTGACAAGAAAGAACGAAAAACGGCAGCCACCACAAATCGATTTGTTACTTTTATTCGTACCATTTAACCCGAAGCCTTTATAAGAACTTAATACACTCTGATTTCTGATTGGGGTCACAGGGTAGCGCCCCTTTTGCGGCCAATCGGAATTCCAGCTCGAATTCGTTATTAATTAGCCGCCTAGGCGAGGCCTGCAGCTAGACAAATTGTTCAGGGGTTTGGGTTTGGGTTTGGTCTGGCACCCATTCATATGGCCATCGAATTTTTCTACCCTGTTAAAACTTCTTCCCAAACTTGGGCGGGGCAAAGAGTACGAATCAGTTTTGGAAAATAAAGAAAGGCCTGCTTTTGTCGCAAAAAAATTAATTGAAACCAACACACTTTCTAGGTCAAGTACATTTAACTTACATTTTATAAATCATGAAAATGTCAAAAATATCGAACCATAAATACAAACCAATGCTTGAATGCAGATTTGTAGGTTATTATCTTACGATCATTTTAAGACATATCATTTTAAAATCGGACTTCAGATAGAAAAGTTATGGACTTAGAAGTGCAGGTTTTGGGTCATTTTTTGGCAAAGCCGTTTTTCGGAAATTTGGAAAGGGTAACCATCATCAAAATGTGAAGAAAATCGATCCAAAATTACAAACCAAAGCTTGAATGCAGATTTTTAGGTAATTAGCACACGATCCATTTAAGACATACCATTTTAAAATCGGACTTCAGATAAAAAAGTTATGGACTTAGAAGTGCAGGTTTTGGGTCATTTTTTGGCAAAGCCATTTTTCGGCAATTTGGAAAGGGTATCATCAAAATGTGAAGAAAATCGATTCCAAATCACAAACCAAAGTTTGAATGCAGTTTTTAGGTAATTAGCACACGATCCATTTAAGACATACCATTCTGAAATCGGACTTCAGTTAGAAAAGTTATGGACTTAGAAGTGCAGGTTTTGGTTCATTTTCTGGCAAAGTCGTTTTTCAGAAATTTGGAAAGGGTATCATCAAAATGTGAAGAAAATCGATCCAAAATTACAAACCAAAGTTTGAATGCAGATTTTTAGGTAATTAGCACACGATCATTTTAAGACATATCATTTTAAAATCGTACTTCAGTTAGAATAGTTATGGACTTAGAAGTGCAGGTTTAGGGTCATTTTTCTGCTAGCTTTTGACTAAAATTTGAATTCCCTCTGAAAGCTTATACAAATAAATGCAACCGTAACATAAATCATTAAACCGTAAATATGAAAATTACGAAATAAATAATTAACATTTATTGTGTAAATGCAAATGGTTTATTTTAAATACGTAATGATAGTAATTAGGAAAAAAATAATTAAATGCATTTAAGAAGTGATTTTGTGATATACGTCTGCCATAAAATCACTAATAATACTGATAATAAGAAATAATCTGTGCGGAAAACAAAAGGAAGCCCATCTTCACGCACTGGATGACAGGTTTGTGGTGTCCATGGCTCCTCGATTCTTGGCCAGAAAATCCAGTTGCTGCAATTTGTGCAATCAATCAATTAGGTGGGGAAGATCGAAGATCGCTTCCTCCCCACCTCGCGAATGGCGCCAAAACGGAAGCTATAACATCCGATCGGCGATCGATTGGGGGGCAAATATATAATATATGTGTGTGCACACATAGGTGGCTATATTATAGGTGGTTGTACCAAGTGCTCCAAGCGGTCCCCACCCAATGCCAACTTCCGTTTTGATTGAGCCCACAATTGGCCAGCGAGTGCTGACAGAGCATTACAATCTTGGCCAGAACTCCGCAACTTGTGCAACTTCCGCGCTCCAATTGTGCAAATTATGGCATCGCTCAGGTGTAATTACAAATGTCAGTGCCTCGCCAATTGCCAATTGGCAATGCGTAATTGGCTAATTGAATTGCCTGCCATTGACGGTTGGATCGTTGATCGCTGATCGTTGATCGTTGATCGTTCGATTGCCTATCCGAAGACCAAGCCCACATCCACATCCGATCATCCATCTTGACTATCTGCCTGCCAAATGTCCCTCATCAATCATCCGATTTCCCCCCGAAAAATCCACAATCTCGGCTCTTTTCCCGGGTGGTCTGCTCCAATGCCCTCTGATCCCAAATGAGCTCCATTCTGTGGGTGGCTAATAGCCTAAAGAAAAAAACACAAAGACCACACATTCTCTCTCCGCTTCTCTCGCTTTTCCATTTCCCAAGAAGAAACACACACAATGCGATGCGGGATGGGGAATTCGGGGAGCTATGAAAACCCAGTAAAAGCTCGGATTTGCCACTGGAATCTAGATCAGGACCCCCGCAGGCTGACGAAATATTTTCTGGATCGCCTGCAGATCACAGTGGTTAAGTGTTTGGGAAAAATTCCAGGCCTCTAATCGATGTTCTCAAAAATCAGTGGTTAAGGCCACAAAGTCATGGTTGATTTTAAAAACAAATTTCTGCAAGAAACTAAACATTAAAATCAAAACCCTATTGAACAAGTAATTATCAAATTAATTGATTTAAAAATGAAAGTTTAAGCCAAACTTAGTTTTGTCAGGAAACTAAATTGATGATGCAATACAAAAAACAAAATTATTTAAGCTGCGTATGTAGCAACTTTTCCCAAAAAATATATTTATATTAATCAAATAAAATAAACAAAATTTGTTATCTACAAAGTTGAATGAATGAATTACAATTATATTAATTAACAGAAAACATATTCAATGAGTGAAACTTGTACTTTTCGCAAACACCAATAAAAAATTGGGCAACCGGTTCCACGCGTTTATGATTATGTGGCTGTAAAGGGCCAAAAAGAAAGCAAAACACTACACCAAATTAGAAATTGAATTAGAAGTAAGTGAACATGACAGGAAATGGGCATTATTCTGGGCCCGCAATAACAATTACAACTGCCATAGCCATTACACTTACAATTACCACCGAAAAGAGGGAGAAATGTAGAGGAATTTCTAATCTTGCCGCCGATGTCGACGCTTTCACCTTTATTTTATCTCCAAGTCCGGGTTTTTGGATTTCTGGCCGAGATTCAACGTCTGACCACGGAAATGTAAATGGAAATGTAAATGCCGTGTAAATACAAAGCGGCGAGCGGGCTAATTGAAAATGCAACAATGGCTCAGCGGAAGTGCAGCGATCGCCCGTTTGAATTCGAATCGATTTTGGTTGCCTTGTGATGGATTGTGTCTCAATTAGAGCCAAATTGCCCTGGCTGTGACAACTCAGCACAAAATGGGAAACAAAGCCAATGAGATTTGTCTGATTCGGGTCTGGACCATCAATCGATTAGCTAATAAGATGCAAATGCGTTTGGATATTTTGAATTTACCTCGGAAATGACGAAAAATTTTGGTTCGATTCGAAAAACCCATTCAATTTAGTTGAAATGTAATGAAATAGGTAATAACGGTATATTTGGTATATCCGTTCTCAATCTCTTTTGAACTTCTCTTTATAAGTTCTCTCCCAAAAATCCTTCGCACTCCCACCTCTCTTTACACTCATCTCACAATTAGACGCCATTTGTCATTTCCTCGCTGTGCTTTTCTGCGGTCGGACTCGTCCCCGTTATAATCGC